GCTCTCTAATTTCAAATGTCAATTTACTCATTTCAGCACAGTCCATTATTTTTCGGATAATTTCTTCCTGTTTTGGTATTGGTTTTTTGCAAATACAATTCTGGCTGCTGTTAACACATTTACAATCAGATATTTTAAGTCTTTGTGAAGTGTTTCAGTCTTATGACTGGGTTAGGATGGAAGTGTGATTTTGCTTCAGTTTCTTTTACATATTACTAGATATTTTTATAGTTGATATTACTATAGTGTTTTCCAAAATTAATCATAAAAGTAATATTTTATTTCTTTCATCGTGGCAAGGCAAAAAGAGCTTGATGTGCGTTTAGACTACGAACTGTGTCCAGATGAGCAAGTATTTATACAGAAAAGGAAGAAAATTGTAGCAGATGCCCTGAAAAGGGTTCTTTGCATGGACAATGATTTGCAAGATCATGAGGTATGTAAAGCATAACCATTACAATTCAGTATGGAAAATTAAGATTTAGTTTTCCATTAATTATCTAGACCTCTGACAAACCTAAACATAGATGGAAGAGTTCTGATTTAAAAATAGGATGGAGAAGATTGATAAATGAATACATTGGTAATTTATCTAGGTTAGACAGAGAAATATTTTTGTCTTGGGTAACATTTTCACAACATATGGGCAGACTTAACCATAGTTTCAATTAGGAAACTGTGAGTATCCTAGACTAAGCCAAGACTAAAAACTCCCCAAAATTCCTGGCAGCCTGGTTTGCAGACAAATCAGCCATCAAAAGGTACATAATGATAAACTAAACTATATTCCATTCAAAAGAGACAATCAAAAAGCCCAAAAGGAAACAAAAAGACCTATCAACAATCAACACCCAGATAAGCAGAGATTAACAGCAAAATGAACATTAGACCAACAATCAATAAGCAAACAACACCACAATCAAGTAATTACCAATTAAGACAAATAAGGTAATAGTAAACAGCTGCCCAATCAAGTAATCACCAAGACCACTCCCACTAACACTGACAAGGCAAGTATATACAATGATAGCAAATTCTACTACTAGTACTTTATTTAGGAAAAAAAATCTGAGAATTTTTCTCCAATTTTGATTTGTGAAGTCACTTGGCCATTGTTATTTGCTCCTTTTAATCATTGATAAAATGAGGGTTTTTCCCACTTCATTTGGGTTTTATTTGTTGAACAGGTACCTGTGGTGGCTATCATGGCCACAGGAGGTGGAGCTCGGGCATTTACAGCTTTACATGGCCATTTACTTGGTCTTCAGAAACTGAATCTCTTAGACTGCTTCACGTACATTTCTGGATCTTCTGGTTCTACTTGGTAAGAAGAAGATAAGCGAAGGATTTTTTTAAAAACCCATCTACCTATCATGGATTCTGACAAGAAGAGTTGCCTTATGGTGAGATGGATGGCCATAAACGTAATAAATAAATAAAATCAATAAATAAATACATTCATCTTGGCTGTTCATATTATACTCTTGCTAATAAACATAATCCTTAAAATGTCATTCTAAGTTGATGAGGAAATGGGATTGATGGGCAGAATTCATATATTTACAATTTATTTATTTATTTAAAACATTCCTTTATCTTCCCATCTTTTAACCAAATGCCACAGAAAAGGCCTTTATCCTAATTCCCATCCAATGATAGTATTTAAGTGAAGTATCTGACTTGGTAGTTTTAAAAAATTCAATAAAATTAAAGCAAAAATCTGTTCACTTCCTGTGTACAGAATAATGATATTAACTGCTCTGATTTTTAAAAAAATGGAATTGTGGGAGCATACACATGGGGCAGTTCTCATTCATTAAACTTGCCAGTTTGCCTTGGGTAGGCTTCTGTTCAGGTTGGATGGAAGTGTGATTTAAGCTTTGGAAGAAAGGGCAGGTAATCAGGATGAAATATCCAAATATGCAGTAAATATATAAATTGCGTAACCAGGTTGGAGAGTTCTCTTCTTGGTTTTGTTTTAAATCGGAATGCCTTTTGTCAAGTCCAAGAACGACACATGATGATTCCTCCAAACTGACTTGTTTACTCTTTCATATCTTGCCAAACTGAGCACTTTAGAATCTGCATATACCATATATTCTGTGAATTATTGGATCATCTTCATTAGGTCATCTTCATCCTCTTTCTCTCACGCATAAGATCTGCACTGAGTTGCCTCTTTTCCCTCTGGCGTATAACCCATCCCTCCCAGGGATCCACCTCCTTACTATATTCCAACACACATTTCCTGCCTTCGTGGTCTTGTTGTATGTTTAAAAAATCATCTTTGGCAGATTAGCAATAATTTTCCATGGTAGTTCAAAAACAGAGGAAAAAAATTACAAATGTGAAAATGACTTTTTAAAATTTCTTTGGGCTGACTTGGGCAAAACTGTGGGTCTGCATTTCTTGGGTAGGCTGAATTAATTGTGGTAGGTTCTGCTTATTTTCACTATTACTAAATATTTAAAGATATTTTGGCAGGAAAAATCCTAAAGTTGCATCACAATTCTTCTTGTTCTTTTTTTTTAAACAGTTTTTAAATTAGCATGATGGTTAAGTGTTTAAATATTACATAATATTACATAATAACCCTTAATATAATTTAGGGAATTGTAACTCTCATTATCAAGATGTGTTTTTTTTTTGTAGGACACTTTCAAATCTGTATGAAGATCCTGGTTGGTCACAGAAGGATCTTTTGGGACCAATTGCAGAAGCTCGCAAAAACATGTCCAAATGCAAGCTGGATTGCTTTACATTAGACCACTTAAAAGAATACCGTGATATTCTGAAGCAGCGGAAAGAGGATGGCTACAAAACTTGCATTACTGATATCTGGGGACTTTTTATTGACCAAGCATTAGGAAATGGGGTAAGAGATATTTCTGATTTCTCAATTATTAAAAGGTTTTGATTTCTCAATTATTAAAAGGTTCTGAATATACATGCTGAAAGATCAAAGCAATGCAAGCAACATGATAGCCTTATCTAGACATTCAGTTTGAATGTGCAGAGTACAAAAACCTGGTATAGGGTTGAAGTACCTGGGCTGATCCACCCCGCCCCCAAAGTTTACATTCACATTATGCTGCCTCTTCTTCTGACCTCTTCACATCCAATGCGAAGGTTATGAGGAAATTCTAAGTGTCTTCAGTGGAACTTACATTGAACACTCCTTATGCTTATCATGAAGTTCATAACAATGGAACAGGTGAAGATGTCACATTGGGTGGTAGAACACATGGTGGGCCGCTATATAATTTATGTGTTCAATATATCCAAATCAAACATCTATGGAGATTCTCAGTCGTACAGCTCATAGTTGCCCCAAAGGTGATTTAGATAGGGAGTTCCTAAACACATAGCACAACATAGGAGAATAAATATTTTAAAGAAATATAATGTTTGATTCATTGTGGGTAGATTTATTTTTATCTTTGTTTGGCATGAATATATATGTATGGTTTTTTCCCCAGTTATTTTAATATCCCAAAAATACTTTTTCAAAGAAAAATAAGAAAGTCCATTTGCCTTTTGAAAAAATTGCCTTTGGGACATTTGGGACACTGGCATAATTATGGAACTAATAGCAAAAACACACGTCCCAGGTCTCATTGCATGATATTATTTTGAGAAAGTCACTGGGGCATATCTATTCTGTTGGACACAATAATCGCAATTTGGCAAATAAAATGGCAGATAATCCCAGTGAGAAGGAGAAGGAAATCTTAGGGGCTTTCTTAGAACTAAATGAATGTGGACTATAGATTTTCCCCCCAAGTCTCTTTTCTGATGTTATAATTGGGAGAGTACATATTACTAGAATTCTTTAACAATAGGGTACTTAAGATTCAAAAGGAAATATTGTCAAAATCTATCTTCTAAGAAGTAGATTTTAGTTATTTGTAAATGAATTCTTTTAATACTGTTAGCCCCAACTATTAGGCTAAGAAGGGAAGGTAGGTATAAGACCCAAGTTTATTGCTTCCTTCAGCAATTTGAATATGTTCAAACAGGGCCTACCATGTGTAATAGTATGTGTGAATGATTTTTGGAGGCAGCAGGAAGATCCACAAACTAGACTACCATCATGTAAAAGATAGTTCAACTAATAGAAGGAGGCGGGTGAGAAGCATTTCAGAAAAGACCCTCCCATGATTTCTAGAGAGGAAAGAAGAAGAGAAAAACTTTCAATCTGATAAGATTATGTCAACATAGCCTTACAATAAAAGTAGAGAGAGTCTCATAATTGTGTTTCTTGTATGGAACTGAAGGAGTTGCTTGGATGAGAAGCAAAACATTTTCAAAGGAAAATGTTGCCTTTTGGAAAAAGCACCTTTGGGACAACCATGGCCTAGATGAGAATCTCATTTTTGTCTGGACTAGCTCAAAGGGTTAATACCATGCTATTCATCCAGCAGATGGGTAGAGTTCTCAATAAATAAAATGTCAAGGAAAATGGTTTTCAGAGAAATGTTTGGTCAGTTCTGTTCTCTTCAATGAACCCAGATGAAATGTGAAAGGGATAGACAAACAATCTGGTAATTTGTTCCAGAAATGAATCAAATATATGAGTACAATGAAATTTAAATTAGGATTCTTCCCATTCTTTCTAGTTTTAATAGGATTAAATCTATGACATTTTTGTGATTTGCAGTTGATTTATTTTTGCAGAGATGTAGCAGCACACTTTCAGAGCAGAAGCATGCCCTGAATCATGGTCAGAATCCTTTGCCCTTGTATATGGTCCTCAACACCAGGGACAAATATAGCCTTCAAGAATTTAAAGGTAACATTACCCACATTGATTGGGACTCAACAATAATAAGGGGTCTTATTGATCTGCCAGGAAAGGCAAAGATTTAAAGGTAAGACAGAATCCAAGATGGTATTCCTCACCCTCCTGATGAAAATGAGAAGACAGAGCCCTGGTTTGTGCACTCCATTTATGCTAGACAGCAAAAAGAAGACTTTGGAGATATTTACATCTGCAAATATAAATCCCAACAGGAGAACAGGGAACATTAATTCAAGAGCCAACATAAATACCACAGACTCTCATGTAAACTAATAGACAGGATAGCCTTCGTTCTCTTGAGATTTTCAATTACTGATGAACTGGTGGATTAGAGGGGAACAAAAAACAGTGTGAAGATTAAAAAAGTCAGCCATAAAAATGGCACTTGGCACTTAATCATTGCTTGGTCTTTACAGTGCTATTCAATATTTCATTTCTCCCTGTATATTTTGTATACTTAGCTTGGTGGGAATGTGGCCAAAATACAACTAATAAATTTAGAAGTCTAATTTCGTTATATTTAACCATTGCAATATCATATCTTTCAAAACCAGTGTTTCATTTGAACCTGTAACTGATATGATTTTGTTGTAGAATGGATGGAATTTACTGCTTTTGAGGTTGGATTATTAAAATACGGTGCCTACATTCGTGCTGAAGACTTTGGAAGCAAATTCTTTATGGGTCGAATGATGAAAAAGCTCCCAGAATCTCAAATCTGCTTCATGAAAGGTGCATTCATGATCTTTACCTGATACTTTTAAAAAAATATATATATACAACCTTCTGAAAAATAGTTTTCCCAAGGCAGTTTACAACTTTCTAAAATAAAATTGTGACTAATTAAATACTGAAAATTATTAGTGCTGCTAAATCACTCATACACGTTCCACGAAACAATGCCATTTCTTTTCAGAAATTCCTGGTTTCCCTTGTCTGAAAGATTCCAAAAACAAGGTTGAAAACAAAAAACAACAAGGCTGATTGTTTTAGATTGTAATCTAAAGCAACGGAGGGGGTGGTATATTCTCCTCAAGGGAAAATAGGATATTTCAAAGGAACCATAGGAGAAAAACATGGAACAGGGATGGGCACATTTTGAGGAGGCACAGAAAAACAAAAATCTATTTTGCTTGCTTGCTTGCTTGATCACTAGCTCAATCATTCATTCAATTGATTCACTCAATTTTGATAGCTGCCCATTTCAGTCAATGACTCTTGGTGGCTTACAATTACTATAAACACTGTCTTGTTGATGCCAG